TGTGTGCTGTCCGTCTGAACGGATCAGTAAGAAGGAGAAAGGACTGCACTACTCGCCGATGCCTTTTCGTAATCTCCGCCTACGCCCCCACTGACTGCAGTTCAGATGAAACGAAGGATGAGTTCTACCAAAAGCTGTCTAGTTTGGTGAGAAAGGCTAAACGCTCAGACATAGTCGTTCTAGCTGGTGACTTTAATGCTCAAGTAGGGAAATTGTGTCAATCTGAGAAGGATGTCGGTGGCACCTATGGAGTCCCGTGCCAGCGAACCGACAACGGTGACCGTCTCCTACAGTTCTGCTCTGATAATCATTTGTTTCTTGTAAGCACTAACTTTAAACACAAGGAGAGACACTGTTTGACTTGGAGACCCCCTTCATCAAACCAACGCTGGACACAAATAGACCACATAGCAATAAGCTATCGTTGGCGTGGGTCGGTAGGAGATTGTCGCTCCTTCTGGAACACGTGTGTAGATACCGACCATGCACTGGTCCGCGCTCGTGCGTGCTTACGACTGAACGGACGTAGGAAACAGCTGGCGGTAAAACCATCACGTCCCCAGCTCGATCAGGAAACTAAATCCGTATTTGAGGAAGAACTAGCTAAACACATATCTGTGTTCGACAGCTGTGCTCACCCTGAAGAAGCTTGGAAAAATATCCAGGCAGCCATAGATACAGCTGTAAAAGCTGTGAATAAGGTAAACCCAAAGGTGAGTAAAAACCACTGGATCTCCACCGCCTCATCCGAACTGATAGATGCTAGAAGACTTATTCCGGCGAGCTCCGAATTCAATGAGGAGCGAAAGCTGCACAAGAGGAAACTTACGAAAAGTCTCCGCAAGGACCGTGAACAGTGGTGGGCGACAAAAGCCAAAGAGATGGAGAAAGCTTCGAGGATAGGCAACACCAGGCAACTCTTTAGACTCATCAGGGAAACGGGTGGGAGAAGACAAATCATCAGTGAGACAATCTCGGAAAAAAATGGCACTATAATTAGCTCCCGGGATAGACGACTGGATCGTTGGAAAGAGCATTATGAGGAGCAGTTTAATTTGCCCACAGCCACGCTCAACCTTCCGAGCATCCAACACCTCCCTGAATGGGATATAAACACAGGTCCTCCGTCCCTAACTGAGGTTACTAAAGCTGTCACCAATCTGAAACTAGGCAAAGCAGCGGGACCTGATGGAATGACTCCAGAGGTATTTAAGTACGGTGGAGACAGCTTACTGTCTGCATTAACTGAGGTACTAGGCAGCGTCTGGGAATCAGAAGAAGTCCCATCGGGTTGGTGTAAGTCACTGATTATCCCCATATACAAGAAGGGAGACAAGTCTTCCTGTGATAATCACAGAGGGATTAGCTTGACTAATATAGTATCTAAAGTCTTAGGCTCAATAATCATGCGTAGACTGAGTGGTGCTCGGGAAGCACAAACACGAGAGAGCCAGGCAGGCTTTAGACCAGGAAGAGGGTGTATTGATCATATCTTCACCCTCCGACAGATTCTAGAACATAGGCATTCCTACCGGCGTCCAACAGTCATTATATTTCTTGACCTAAAGGCAGCATTCGACTCTGTCGATCGGGAAGTTCTCTGGAGATGCTTGGCTGTAAAGGGAATTCCAAGAAAATATATTGCACTGATTAAGGCACTCTATTCGTACTCATACAGCCAGGTGAGGGCTTACGGCGAGCTGTCATCTGAATTGGTGACCACTAGCGGTTGTTCGTGGATGCTGCTTATTTCCTTTTCTATTCAACTTCATCATAGATGTGTTAATGGACTTAACCCTAACTCACTTCAGAGATACAGGGATTGACTTACTACCAGGGAATAATCTCGTTGACTTGGAATATGCAGACGATATAGTCCTTCTAGGCGAAGACGCTGACAAAATGCAGAGTCTTCTAAACACCTTGAGCAGAAATCTACGAATGTTTGGCATGCGATTCGCTCCCGCCAAATGCAAGATGATGTTACAGGACTGGACTACATCGACGCCCAGTTTAAAAATAGGAAGTGAAGTGGTAGAGCACGTTGACCGCTTCACTTATTGGGAAAGTACCATCAGCCAGTGCCAACGGGTTGATCTCTGACGAAATCTCAGAACGAATACAAGGGGCTCGTTTCGTATTTGCCAGTTTACGCCGACTCTGGCGTAGACGAGATGTTCGACTATCGACCAAAGGGCGGGTGTACTGCTCATCAGTCCGCTCCGTCCTCCTTTATGGTTGTGAGACCTGGCCACTGAGAGTGGAAGACATGAAAAGACTAGCTGTCTTTGATCATAGGTGCCTGCGTTCTATTTCCCGTGTACAGTGGCATAATAAGGTGAGCAACATGGAGGTTAGGCGTCGAGTTCTAGGTAAACAGGGGAAATCAATCGACGAAGTCGTGAAGTTGCATCGACTGAGATGGTTAGGACATGTGTTACGTATGCCAAGCCATCGCCTCCCTCAACGAGCAATGTTAGCGGATGTTGGGTCAGGCTGGAAAAAGCTAGCGGCGGTCAAACAAAAACTTGGCATCAGTCAATGAAATCCACAACAGTTGGTCTAAGCCACGTAGAAAGGTGTAGACTTCCAGGCTGGGGTCCTCGGGACGGTAAAAATCTATGGTTGGAAACAATTGGTGACATGGCTCAAAACCGTTCTCAGTGGCGCAGATGCATCCACTCCCTGTGACTTATGATCTTCAATGAAACTGTTTTGTATTTCTTTATTACTCCTTTGTCTCACACCTCTGCTCACTGTTTCTATTATGCCTTTCTTGTACTTTCTTCTCTTGATTCGCGTGCTACACGGAGTGTGGCGACTTGAGCTGCTGCACATTTGTGCAAAGTTCTATGTCGAAAACAGACAGACAGACCACCACTGGCTCTTTTCCAAGCTGATCCATTCTATGTCAGCTAAAATTGACCGTCGGTAGAGGAAGGCGATGAATTCCTAGGCATACGTAACACATGTTCTGACCACCCTAATCGATGTAGCTTCACAGCCTAGTCGATTGACTTCCCCTCCTTACCTACCCAGCACTCCACCAATTCCTCACCTCAATATTTCTTACCCTAAAATACCATCTAACACTGGATGTAGACAGAACGCAGACACCTATGATCAAAGACGGCTAGCCGGGTTTTTCATGTCTTCCACTTTCATTGGCCAGGCCTAACTGTCATACAAGAGGACAGAGGGAAATGGTGAGCAGCACAAACGCCGTTTGGTCGATGGCCAGCCGAATGTCACATTTACGCCGAAGATGGCGAATTCCAAATGAGCCTTCCATATTCGTGCTGAGATTTCTGTAGCGACGAAATCGTTTGGGCTGATGCAGCTCAACAAATAAGTGAACTGGTTAACACGCTGTACCACTCCATATCCTTAGGCTGGGAGTCAATGTAGTCTAGTTCAGTCCCGTAGCATCATCTTACATTTGGCAGGAGCGGATAGCATGCAGAACGCTCGAAAATTTCTGCTGTTATCTATTAGCTTCATCATCTTCAAAAGTGCATACAGTATCTTTGTAGTAGTGTTTTCCGTGCTAAGATTTCTTGACAGATCAACTTATTAGGGTTGATGCAACTTCCCAAATAAATGAAGTGGTCAACACCCTCTATCATTTGCTTCCCCATCTGTTTTCATTCTTTGCGATCTACCAATATCTATGAAATCATTATTTTTTGTGTTGTTATTCTTTCTCTCACTGATTGTTGCACATTACAATTCTTTTGAATCTGCTTTCTCTTACTTTGTGTACTATATGGAGTGCCACTACTCTGCAAAGCTTCGCGTCAAAATTCAGTCTCAGTCAAGTATAGGGAAGGACAGATTCCTTGGTTGAAAGCATCAGGATAACAGTAGTATGAATCGAAATCGTTATCAATAGCACAGATGTATCCACTATTTATAATCATCACCGATGTTCATTTAACTGCTTTCTGTCCCTTTCTCTCACTCTCTTCCCCGTGTATATCATCGTTCATTGTTACTACAGTTTCTTTCTTTCCGCTATCACTGCTTGAAGATTTATGTTGTGTGCTACCTTGAACTGCAGTTATATCTACTTACCAATGTCTAGTTTGTAAGAGTTTTGAACGTTAGAAAGGAATTAAACAAGTTTGATGTGACGATAACTACTTATTCACAGATTTTTTGGATTCTGATTCAATTGAAAAATTATAACGTGCTTTTCTTCATGAACATTAGGTAGCAAACATTTCTGAGTAATATTTTGGTAAAGTCTTCTGCCAGAATTGCGGGTAGCACAATAATAGATTAAGTTGCAAACAGAAGAAATGTAGTACATTTTGAAAGTTTGGCGTAATCATGAAATGAGGGCGAAAAACGAAGCAAAGTAGGAATCCCTTTTGGAGACTAAAGTTTCAGTGTACAGGTTCTGCATATTTCGACCTCACTAAGTGTCTTTTTGCCATACGAACAGTCCTTCTACCATATACCATTTTGTTTTGCCGTTAAGATCAGTTTAACTGTCTCTTCCGCAGACGAGTATGTCATAGTCGCAGATATTTCGAAACGGAGACGTGACATTTCAGAGGTACTTCGAAGGTGTCGTAGAATGTCACAATGAAGGATCAGAAGGCAAAAACTAACAATCGTATTAAGAGGCTGAGAGACAGTTTGTGTGAACCTAGGTCACAGACATCATGGATTTCCATCGAGTAGCTAATTTCAGAGCGCGACAGCCCAGTGTCGCGGAAATTTACCAGCTTACAACTTGGGCAAGGCAGATATTCACTGGTTTTGCAGTTAACGTTGACATATCTTTGGCTTGCTTTCGCAACGTTAGACTAAAAGTGAAAAGCACAGCTGCCAGCTTTCCGTTTTAAGGAATGTGTTCTGCTAACATCACCAGACGACCTATGGACATGAATAAATTGGTGAAAAAGTACAAGATATTTAATTAGCCGGACATTCACACACTAGTGATCCCGAGTTCCGAGAAGCCTGCAGGACTGATTAAAAAAAAACTCCAAAAAAAGTAACCAATATAATACTTGCGTATTGTTTTCGGTAGGAAGCAGCATACACATGTGTACCTATACAAAAGCCAGTAGTTATAACACTTGATGGATTTTCTTAATGGGCGTATAATATTCAGGTCGAACAAAGTGTACGAAGTGACTTTCAAGGTCTTACACATCTGTCAGTCAACTACAGCATACCTCTCTTCACGTGTTCCGCGCTTAAACCCAAATGCATAGACTTCTTAGTCTTCCCAATGAACAACAACAAGAAGAAGAAAAATAAAGCACAATCAATAGTTCTCGTAATTTCTCTTCTACTTCATCCAAGATTCCAAGATATAGAATGTAAAATATCGAAAATAATCAACAGATTAAGGAAAACACAAAAGAACGTCGATATACCTTTTTTGAGGATAATAAATATCTCCTTTTTTTCTGCGTTATTTTGTTTTCTTCCTTTATCTTGCCCATTAATAAATCATAAGAGTTTGTTTTTTTGTTTTTTTAAAGTGAGTTGTGACAAAAAGTGTCTTTCAAATAAATATGTTGTCCAGTATTTTAACCGGCGTTGGGTGGGACAGGTGTGGGGTGGGGCCAGCAGTAGCAGCAGACAAATTCAACACGGAGGCAAACACAGTGAGAAGGTGGGGTGGTGGAAAGAGATGAGACGAGAGAAAAAAACAATATATGTATGTAAATCACGTGTGTAATAGCTCAGTCTCTCTGCATCTTTGTCTACACACGGGAATAACGTGAACACACATACACACAGAAATAGACACCTGAATAGACGGATTGAAACATACAATTCATAAATGCAATAGAAGGCAGAAAAGTATTATTCAAAGAAGTCAATCAATTTCAATTAAGTAAATAATTATGAAAAACAACCAGTTAATGCACTATAATATTGTTGTTGTGCAGTGAATTATAAAGACAACAAAGATAGGTAATGACGTTAGAACGATTGCATTGATCCATCTATCACACACAAAGGATAAGAGACGTATTCAATCACAGGAAGAAACATAATAAAGGTAAACACAGAAAGCAGATTACCTAAGTAACTAAACTAACTAACTGACTGGCTGACTGGAACATTATACATTTTGATCAGCAGTGGTAGTGCATTCAAGAACCGGGGTTAATTGATTAATTAATCAGTCAATATACATAGAAAATATTCTAAACAGTAAGGGGATATGAATGCACATACACATTATAGAAAGCACCAAACGAAATCCCACACACACACACACACACAAACACAAACACAGATACAGCAATCCATCTCCGTATTATATAGTAATAGAATATGCAGATTAAGCAGTCATTATAGCAGAGCCCATAAACACACATACACCATAAAGGAATTTAAACAGGCTGGTGTGTAAGTGTGGATGACAGTGAGTGTGATGCATACAATACAGAAGACACAATTCTCATTGTCGATAACAATAACGGTCTAGATTTATACAGCACTCACTCACTGCACGTGCACACGCGTAAATACATACATACAAAGAAGACAATAAATAAAAGAGAGAAGAATATTAATGTCAGTCAAAGAAGAACATACTCACCACAAATTGACACTTATTATATGTGAAAGACCAAAGTCAACTATGCTTAAGCATAAGTATATATAGAAATCACTCAAAAAACAATGTCCGAGAGAAGAGAATAGGGCAACAAGCAAAATTCTGTACACAATGACACATATAGATGTACCTCTTTTTAATGGAAGAAATCAGGGGGAGGGAATAAAACCAAAAAAAAACAGGAGGGAAAAATCTTGTATCTATCTGTCTGTATAGTTATCTGACCATATATAGTATGCAAGTACTGTGTTTACGTACGCGAGGTAGAAGACATGAATGATGAGAGCAACTCGATCAAAGCTTCACATCATCACTCGAACATATACGTAAATATGTAATCACAACACCAGAAGCTGAAACAGCAGTGCGTGTATGTGGGCTTATGTAAAGACACATTAAGCTAGGAGGGACGAGTTAATCAACTATTTCATTATATATCATGATTTGAATTTGATTCATCTGTGAGAAGATGAAAAACGGGGATGGAAGGGAGGAAACACAACGACTAGAAATTTTGGCTATTTGACGATGACAATGAGGAGGTGACAGAAGCGGAGGATGTTAACGGTGGCGGAGAGGTTGTAAGAGTTATTGTTGTTGTGTTTGTTACTGCTATCGCCGCTCCCGCTTCCTTTGTTGGCGATAATGATGACGTTGATGATGTTGACGGATTTATATAGACACTTGTAATCATAGGATCATCCGGTATGAGGCATAGATCTTCTAATGGACCAATAGACTCAGTCATTACAGATGGAGGCAAATCTTTCCACATTGAATACACCTCTGAACTAACTGTGTATGGTGATGGGGATGAGTCATTATCATTATTACTGTTGTCTGCATTCAATACTCTTGGTGTTGATGCAGTAGAATTCGCCAGACTTGTTGAATGAGGTGATGATTGAGCAAATTTTAAATAGCTACCCAGTGTGAAACGTTTGTTACTGTTATTATTATTTGAACTATTGACACCATTGATACTACTACTATTATTATTAGGCGTACCATTAGTGGCGGTATTGACAACATTAGAAGTAGCACCAATACCAGCCAATATAGTCGTATTCGAATTGTATTCTAAAAGTTTATCACAGTCTAGTGAAGATTTTCGCCGCATGCATAAATCATGATTATCTAGAGACTGACTACCGCTGCCAGTAGCTACTTGAAGACGTTGAGAAGTTAACAAACTTTCATACTGATATTCTAATTGTAAATAACCTTGTTTACGTTCGGCCAGTTGAGCTTTCAACTCCATTTCACGACTTCTCCACATAACACCATCAGCTTTACGCTAAGCGGAGAAACAGAAACGAAAAGAAACAAACAAAGGAGATTAAATTAAAGTATATTCGACAATTCAATTAAATTTAAAAGGAAACGGCGTTGTAGCGACTCTAATCAATACCCAAATCGATGGAAAGACAGAAGACACTTTTACGAAGCAGTGGCAAATGAAGCAGAACAGGTCCCAGGCAAAAGAGACTTCACAATACATTACGAAATAACCAAGTTGCTTTCCCGAAAACTATCGATGCACATGAAGGCCGTTGTAACCGAGTGGACCGATACATGGGTATAAGAATACCGAAATGCGATAGGCCACTCGACTGAATAGCGAGTACGATATATTTGTCTCCCATAAACAGTTTCTACTTCACTGTGCCACGAAAATATCAGACTGACCAGGGACTGTCAGAACGTCTTTATATATATATATATAAAATATACCATACATATATACACTCCCAACACACAAAATCATATTAAGTCAGTGGTTAGAGAAACTAATATGATTGACTGTATAGGGTTGAAGATTTCATATCAGATCACTTAGACGCAACAGTATAATCCTAAAATGGACTCACAAAATCGTCTATCTCAGCAGCTGGGAAATGTCGACTCTAGTTTAAGCTGCTTGCTACCTGGCAGCATCCAGATTCAGACAAGTCAGTAGCCACCATCATCTGGATACCAGAACTGAATACAAAACCTGAGAACAAGTCATCTGAGAACTCAGAAAAAAATGAACCTAATGGATAGCCTTTGAGTGGTACCAAAAGACTGCATAGCTCTGTTTATCTGTTATTTTCCTTCAGTGATTTGAACGCAGGCGCATCAAGAGGTGGAGATATGGCCCAGACAAATGGGCCCCAGATTCAAATTCTGCTCCATCTTACTTCAGTCTAGGCAAGTGAATAGTATCACCAGTCTTCACACAATAATTGTGCTGTAACACAGCCCGGTACCCGGTAACCAAGTTCTAATCAATCAGTCAATCAATCGTCAAGAAGCCCTCCACTTAAGTTTCATGATTGTTGGCAGCACTCGTTAGTCAGCAAGACGGCATATCTGTAACATCCCAAAGGTAATCACTGGTAGCCGTTGTGAAAATTCCAAACTCTACCACCTAGTGTTACGATCATAAACCCTACCAATGATATATACATATATATATATATATATATACATGTAGGATGATGGTGTATAGAATTCAAATTAAGAGTTGACAACATATAACAGTGGTCGCTACTCCCGATTGACAACTGTTAGTTTCCATTATTAACAACAAGCTAAAAAAATAGTTGTAAGTGATCGTGAACATTGAACGTTGGTTAATTGGCCTTGGTCGCTACTGGCTGGCAACTCGAAGGGGCGAATGGTTCAATCGTGTACAAGTTGGAAGAGGACAAAAGAATACGAATAAAAGTACAGTACATTCCTCGTAAAACATTTGTTTATAGACTTGGTATCAACTTCGATTTTAATTGCCGAACAATACAAGTTATTGCAAGTACTGGTGTTTTGGAGTTAAAGTCGATAATTGATCATAGTAGTCATCGATTCGGAGCGTTTTCGCAAATAATAGGAACTTAAAGTCAAGTACCTTGACAACAGTAGTGGCATAGAAACGGAAACTTACTGAAATTATACAAAATGAGCCTAAAATGGATCGAGAAAATCAGTTTAAGACACTTAAACGCCCTACGAAAAATATTAATCAGGCTGGAACCACCTGACCAACTAAGTTTTCAAAAAAAATTCCTCGGGACGGTAAAAATCTATGGTTGGAAACAATTGGTGACATGGCTCAAAACCGTTCTCAGTGGCGCAGATGCATCCACTCCCTGTGACTTATGATCTTTAATGAAACTGTTTTGTATTTCTTTATTACTCCTTTGTCTCACACCTCTGCTCACTGTTTCTATTATGCTTTTCTTGTACTTTCTTCTCTTGATTCGCGTGCTACACGGAATGTGGCGACTTGAACTTCCGCACATTTGTGCAAAGTTCTATGTCGAAAACAGACAGACAGACAGAAGTTTTCAAAAATAAGAGATTTAAACAACAAATGGGGTGGAATCGATAATAAATAGAAATCTATGGGAGAAGGAATAAGATCACGGAGGAGGATAAGAGTTTAGTAGATCTGCCAGATCACAGACAGGACGATTTCAAGTCTTACTACCAACGGTTCTAAGCCAATGGATCTTAGAAACTCGAGAACCCCAACCAGCTGCACAGTCAATATGTGGCTCAAACTGACCCTCCAAAGACTTCATGGATAAATAAATATAAGCTATCTGTAACTCTTTTCCAACTTGATTCTATGCCAGCCAGCTAATATTACTCGACTAGCAAGGCGATAAGCTTGGCGTGTGTAACACGTATCCAAGCCATTTGAATCGACGTAGTTTGCCAAGCTCATCGACTGACTACGCTTCCTTACCTAACACAGCCTACAAATAATCTCATTATTACTAACCATTCTGTATCACATATAACACAGGAGGTAGAGCATAAACACCATGTTCAACATTAGAAATTTATGTTTTCATCAACTTGATTCCTGCTCTTTTAGGCTTTTACTTGCTAAGACAATATTTAAAAAAGAATAACTAAACATCAGATTAAAAGTTGTTGTTGTTGTTTTTCTCCTGAGCAAATAAATACCTTTAAAAATATCTAATGACGACAGACTTTCTCTACTATCGACTTCATTCATTCATACTTCTAATTGACAGAAAATAAAAAACAGATTATAGATGATAAGAAAAATATATGAAAACAGAGAAAGGTTCGATAAATCCGTGAAATCTAGTCCAAGCGTTACTCTTTTCAATGCTGCAATTCTGATTTCTATTGGCCCGACAGCTGTTAACTTGGTACGTGGTAGTTAAGGCTAGAATATCACTACGACCGAGAAAGCTGGATGTGCAAGAATCAACGTCTCTGCAACTCTTTGTATGTCAGAGAACTAGCCTAGATAGTGTTAATTGCAAGCAGTTGACGCCATGTAGTGTAAATCACCCACACCATACTGAGCATGTAAGAGTATTCCGCCAAACAGCAAGCCAACTATGCTTCCTATTCACTTTGAGGCATCAGCAGCGAAAGATGTACATCTCGACATATTTTGCGGTGATCCATTACCAGAGGTAAGATGTGTGTGACTAAGGTAGCGCTTTATCTCCCGTTTGAAGTGGTATAATAAGGTGAGCCACATTGAGGTTAGGCGTCGGTTGACTGCTAAGTAAGGTGGAAGGGGAAATCAATCGACGAGGCTGTGAAATTACATTGACGACTGAGATGGTTAAGACATGTGTCACGTATGCCTAGTCATCACCTTCCTCGACGGGAAATCTTAGCTGATATAGGGTCAGGCTGTAAAAGAGCTAGCAGCGGTCAAACCCAAACAAGGCGCCAGTCAATGAAGTCCACAACAGTTAGTTTAAGCCATGTAGGAAGGTGTAGACTTCCTGACTGGTTGGGGTCCTCAGGATGGTAAACACCAATGCCTAGAGACAATCGGTGATATGGTCAAAATCCTTCTTCTCAATGGCTAGCGCAGATGCATCCACTCCTTGTGACTTATAATTTCCAATGAAACTAGATTGTTCTTCGTTATTACTATTCCTTTGTCTCACATCTCTGTTTACTGTCTCTATTATGCATTTCTTGTACTTTCTTATCTTGTTTTGTGTGCTACAAGGAGGGAGTGTGGCGACTTGAACTGCCGCATATCGGTGCAACGTTCTATGTCAAAAACAGAAAGACAGACAGACATTGACTAACGTAGAGAAGTTGTAATCTTGGGGCTCAGCAGGCACCGTCTGTTTCAGGAAGAAATCAACTTCCATGGTGTCGGCAGCTAGGATGCAGTAAATGCACACACACACACACACATGCATACGCCAATACAGTATTCCTCATTTTGATCTAAAATACTTGCTGATTTCTTTTGCGATGTATCCTCTAATGCATGCATGAAAAGGTAAACGAAACTTCTAACAAGATAGAATCAGTATCAGCCTTCGGAATCAGATAAGTGTGGACACATGACTGACAAAACAAAAATCGCGCCTTTTTTATGAATTGGGGAAGAAGGAACTGGTTCAAGAATGATTATTCAGCATTCTCAAGTGTTGGTTTGTATGAGGTATTTAATTGATGTTTCCCATTAGGCCATGAGTTGACGTAAGTTAGAAACCACGGAATGCCAGGGAGTACTGGAAAGGTGTATAGTCCCAGTTTGGAACATAACCTGGTGGTGAAATTCATCGCCAACTGGCTAGATGACCAGCGGAATCCAGTAGTAACCTGAAGGTTTTGCGTTCGATCCCTAGCAGAATGACGGGTGCATTCTTCTGAGGAGTAACGAAACTAGACCAATGTAGCTGTCTAGTTCTCCCTGGTGGTTTTCAACGGTTTTCTAGTTGAAGTGAATTCCTGAACTAACTTGATATTCAGTGTTCGCCTTATTACAAAAAAAATATCACATTATCACTTTTTTTCAAGTACCAATTGATTCCTATTTGTTCTATACTCAGTTAATCAAATAGTACCACACATATGTGAGCCGATTATAACTTGCCGGCTGTCTATACCATGGAAGTTGGATTTATTTTTATCTTGAAGTGCTTATCTTTCTACTTATGTGAATAAGAAATAGCTTCACAAAAATAGAACACGCTGAAGTAATGATTATTTGTATTTCATTTTAGAGACACACTTTCAAACTGACTACTAATTCTTTGTTATATATATGCTGAGATTTTGTAAATTCCGGTTTAATAATACTTTGAGAAAGCTATTAGCATTAAATAGCGAAACGTCAGTAAAAACAATCTCGTTTTGTTTTTTCATTCATTGGGAAATACAAAAAACCTTTATTATAATGACTACTAGAGTTATTTCTCTCCTGATAAGTAGGCTGACAGAGAGAGACAGAGAGCAAGAACTTACCGAAATCAAAATCTTATTGAGGCGGAGTAGACAGAAGTAAAAAACAAA